ATTTTAATTTTAACATACACATAAAAAAATAAAAATAACTTTTTTCATATATTTTTTTTTATTTAAATTTTCCTAGGTTTGTCTTTTTTTTATGTACTACATCTCTGTTGCAAACTTGTCGCCAGCAAATGCCGACAATAAATTTTATTAGCTTAAAAGTAGCTGAGCACTCAAATTAATGCCCCAATAAAATGTAATTAATGTTACATAAGTAAAAATAATTACTTATACATCTTTTACATTTGGACATGTATGTGTGTGTTTGAAAATATTTCAAATTCAAGGCAATAATATTAATTTTATTGTTGAAGCTATAAGTGCTGACTTTTGATTGTAGCAATATTATTTATGAGCGACCATTAGCATTATTGCTTATCCATCTATACATAGGTGTATACTTAGGTATGAGCACATATATATGTATTTATATGCATACATACAATTCTAAACAGTTGAGTTATTGGAAACTATTTATTGACGCATTCAAGTTGCAGTATATAAAAGAATACGAGTATATAATATATATAAAACAACTACATATGTACTTAAAGGTACATACAATACATATTTGCATACCATATAGGTATAATATAGTAAAAACAATATGACTCCAAGAAGTAGTATAAAAAATAACAAAAAAATTCCTTCAAAGAAAACAAAGAACAAATATATAAAAAAAAATCTTGAAAAACAAAAACTAACAACAATTAAATCACTATCTATAATATTTTAACGCAAGAATAATAATTTATTTAATTAAGGCAGGATTAATTTTTAATTAACACGAAGAGGTGTTAAGCGCCGACGGCGTTTTGTAATCAGTAATTAAGTTTTCATTCAATGAATTAATGAACAGTACACTTATTATGTATATATGTACCGTTATACGTATAGTCTGCTGGAAATTGGTAACTTAAGCATATATGTATTAAATATTGTGCCGCTATGTGTACGGTAACAGCTGTAACACTTCAAGTACTTAATTATTCATGCAACATTTTTCAAAGATAACCGACGTGTAGGACGCAATGATTATTTATTTCATTGTTTTAATTTAATTTTTTTTTTTTAATAATCTTAAACGAAGTTTTGGAAAAAGGCTGAATTTTTACACGCAAAGACGAATTACGGCAAACTATGAAACTTACAGCTTGTGCTTAACGGATTAAATAAAGTTGAATTATTTATAACAATTAATTTTAATAATTTTATAAAAGCAGCAATAATTAAAATTTTAATTATTTAAAAAAATTTTTACTAAAAATGTTTTTATTTTTGTATTTCTTTTTAGGTGAAAATCTGGTTCCAGAATCGACGCTCGAAGTACAAAAAAATGATGAAAGCTGCACAAGCGCCTGGTACCGGCGGCATGCCATTGGGTGGTGGTGGTCCCAATCCTGGTCAACATAGTCCAAATCAAAATATGCACAGTGGTGAGTTTTCAAATTTTATTGAAGAAAATAATTTAAGTAAAGCTGCTACTTTTCACCTTTGTGTATACGTATATATATTTGCATAGGTGAGGCTTAATTAAGCACAAAAGAGAATTAATTCATAGAAAATACAATTTCTAAAAAATTATGCAATGTTGCCAGATAAATTTTGGAAAGAAATGAAACGCAAACGGCTATGTAAAAAATGACAAAAAAAAAATGTTTAAATTTTGTAATTAGTAAAAAATAATTGAAATTAAAATTAGTTAATTTGAAATTTATTAAGAATTTATTAAAAAACCAAAACTGAATTTAATTAAAAATTTATTAAAAGATTAAAATTGAATTTAATTAAAAATAATTGAAACTTTAATCTTAAAAATTTAAATAAAAAATTGTTGAAAATAAAAAAATAATTAAAAAAAAAATAAATTAAAAATTGCCTGGAAAAGCATTTCAAATCTTAATCTTTAAAGCACTAGAAAATAGCAACGAATTTCTAAGTTCTGGTTTTGAAGGCTAGAGTAACTTTAAAAAGAAGAAATTAACAAAACATTTAAAAAACAGCTAAATGGTAACTAAAAATGGTTTCTATAAATAATAGCTGCCACGTGTGTTATACAAAAATATAGGTGCCGTTAGAGACAAATTTTTCTGGAACTATGTCTCACATATGTACATACATATATACATACACATATAGTCGTATTTAAATATTATTTTTTTTTAATTTTTCCTTGATACTATATAATTTTAACTGATTTATAAAAAGTTTATCTCAAAATCATTGCAGGCGGTAATAACGGCGGTGGCTCCAATAGCGGCTCACCATCACATTATCTACCTCCCGGACATAGTCCGACGCCATCAAGTACGCCTGTGTCCGAGTTATCACCTGGTAAGTCAAACCAAACAAATTCTTATGCTAATTAAATTATCTTATTTTAAAATATTTTTGGCTAAAAACTTAGTTTAATTTGAATTTAATCAAAAAAATTAAAGAAAATTTAATTTTTGTTAGTTACGATTAAATAATTTTGTATACTAATAATGTAATACTTTTGTTAATTTAAAAAAAACTTAATTAAAAAAATATYAACATATAATTATTTACGAATTTATAAAAAAAAAATTAATTAAAAAATATGAATAAGTAATTATTAATACGTATTTTATTTAAATATTATAATCTAGTTAAAACCAACCACTTCTCAGTTTTAACAACAACAAGTCTTAATACTTTTCTCTCTATCCCTCTCTCTCTTCCTCTCTTTGTTTCGCTTTCCGTGCTGTAGAATTCCCTCCAACGGGTCTTAGTCCGCCTACGCAAGCGCCATGGGATCAGAAGCCACATTGGATCGATCACAAACCACCGCAAATGACGCCGCAACCACCTCATCCAGCGCCACCACATCCGCAATCGCATCACCACAATCCGCCACCGCAAATGAGCGGCTATGTACCGCCACAATATTGGTACCAGCCAGAAACGAATCCTTCGTTACTAACGTAAGTAGCTCTAGTAACTATCAAGATAATAATTTTTTCAAATGGAAAAAAATTTAGAAATATTAATTGCAATTAATTAGTTACATATATTAAATTGCAAATAATTAATTACAAATTAAATTTTAAAATATTTGTGATAAATAATTAATTAATAGTAGTAAATTGCAAATAAAATTTTAAAAAATTAATTCCAACTAATTAACTGTACATAATTAATTAGATATATTAAATTGCGACGATTTTTTTTCTTGTGAATAATTAATTACAAATTAGACTATGAAAAATTAATGACAAATAATTCATCACACATAATTACTTACATGCATTATATAAAATTGTTATTATTTTTATTTACTGCGAATAATTAATTACAAATTAATTGGAAATAATTAATTATAAATAAAACTTAATTAATTGTGATTAAATTAAAATTTTAACTTTTAATCGCGATACACAGCGCTTATTTCACTAATGATACAGTGTTCCCTCTCATACMAATTACAGGGTCTGGCCAGCGGTTTAACACCACCACCACCAACAGCAACAACAACAATACATACACCAAACCGATCCTATTTTCGTAGATAATTCCAATGCGTATATTTAATGAAAAATAAAAAACAGTAAACAAAAATGTTGTACACAAAGAAGGTAATTTAAAATTTATCTAATTAAAAATAAAAATTATTTTAAAAAAATGCTTGCATTTTTGGTTAAAAGTATGTATATGGTCGCAGTTGTGTGTGGCTGTCTCTTATACACATCTAGATGTGTATAAGAGACAGACAAACATGAAATATATATATATTTTTTTATTAACTATTTTTGTATTTTAAATTGTATGTCTCTCTTTTGTTTTTGTTTTAATTTTAATTTATTTAATTAAAGACTCTAACCATATAAATTTGTAATGAAAACATTTATGTTTGAAAATATTTCCAAATTAATTCAAAGTTTTTTTTTTCGTTAATTATAGTGACTCGAGATAGAGTAGTCCAAAATTATTTTATGAATTAATTTTTTTCTTTTTATTTTAGTGTAAT